TATTAGAAGTTATGGCCATCATGGGTATTCCTGCACAAATAAAGACAGACAATGGTACAGCATATATATCTAAGAAAATGAAACATTTTTTGCTTATTATAATATAATTCATATTACTTGTATGCCAAATAATCCTACAGGTCAGTCAGTTATAGAAAGGTCAAATTGAATTATATAAGATATGCTAAAGAAACAGAAAGGGATGGAAAATACCCCCAGAAATAGATTGCATAATGCTTTATTAACCTTGAATTTTATTAACACTAATGAGAAAGGAACAATGGCAGCAGAGATAATGGGGAAAAAAAAGTTCTGAATTGAATCAATCAGTATATTTCAAGGCAGTGTTGAACTCACAATGGAAACTGGGAGATGTGCTACGTTGGGGAAAAGGTTTCTCCCTTGTTTCCACAGGAGAAGAAAAACTATAAAAACCACCAAAATTAGTAAAGATTTGCTTTGAAAAAGAAACCTCTTGAGAAAGAGAAATGATGGATCATCCACAGTGGTAACCACTATATAGGTGGTGAGGAAATCATATAGGGTTGGGGCAGGGTTCTGCTCTTGTCTTTACAGGAAAATACATATCTTCAAAAATTCAAGAGACCCTGGATGTTTGGATGCTGACAGAAGGAAAAATAACTATCCAATAAGGATTATCAAGAAAAAGGAATATGACTTATGAGGACAGGTGATTAAAACATATACATATACATATATATACATATATATATAAATAAATATATATATATATGAATATATAGAGCTGGATTTGGAGTTGGACAATGGCTCTGTCCTTCTCTAAATCCAGGTGTGTTGTTAAAAGGAACATTCAGAGTTCCTGTCTTATGTCAGGAGCCATCTGGTATGGGACAGAAGGAAGATTTTAGGAAAAATTTTACTTTCTCTATGCCGATTTTTTCTATATTGTATGTATGTTTCTATGAATGATGTTTAAGTTTTTCGCAATGAACAATAGAGTTTACTAAAGATGCTTTTCCTGCAGTAATCTTTGAAGTTTCCAGTAAGAAGATGGAGCCCCACAGCAACAATTCCATCTGGTTGAGATGTCATCATGATGCTGACAGCGCTACTACAAGACTGTCTTTTGAATACCAGCTGCTGAAATGATGCACCTTCTCATGACGTTCTGGCCAGAACTCCAAATAAGAACTTTGTAAAAAGCCCTATTAACTACTCAGAAATCATTATACTAGACAATAATCTTGAAACTTAACCATCATTTTACTTTTACAAAATCCCATAAAAAGAACATCACTCCCATGACAACTGGAAGCAATTCTAGAAGATGACGTCCCCTCTCCCAACAAAGTTTGTTCTCAGGGTTGGGGATACTGTTAAAGGGGTTGTTGACTATTACTTGTCTAAGGTAGAGGGTTAGGGTGGAAGCTATGTAGGCTCAAAAGAATAAAAGAGGGGAAAATTGAATGGGATATTAGTGTGAACTTATTCACTAACAATAATAGTGGGTAATAGAGCGAATACTTGTGAGCTATTATTTATGGATAATTTACATTGGTATACTTTTTTGTATATTGATACAAGTTCAAATTATATTTGTTACTTCTGTTTACAATATTTGTACACCTATGCAAAGTTATTCTGTCAGATTGTATACATGCATGTTTCTATCTCTCTTTAGAACATTTTGTATATTGATACAAATTTTAGGGTATATTTTCATATTGCATTATATATTATTCTTACCTCTGATCAAGATACTTATATATTGCTTACATTTTAAGGTCATTGCCCTCATTTGTTGCACATTTGTTTACAGATTATTTAATATTCTGACATGAAGTCTTAATCTTAAATTATATAGGTATTAAATATTATAGGTCAAGAGTTGTTCATGTTTGTTATACATATAGTTAGAATAATTAGGTTCCTTAGATACATAGAGATTGTATTCTGCCTAGATAGGTAATCTTCAACCACTTCAAGGATCTGTAGAACATGGCATTCAAATAATTTAGGGTTCTTTTGAACCCTAAGAGACATGATTGCTCCGGATAGCACCAATCTATGCCCAAGAGAACGTTGAGCACCAAAGACACTCCACTCTGAGTTTGTTTTCTTCTTGGCACAATTAGCTTTTGGGTAAGGAACTGCCCATGCCTCAGCCACTGACAAAGTCCATGGTATCTGCTGGATAAGCAGGACACAAGGAAAAGGACTGCCAAACCCTGCCAAGACAGGGTAAGACAGTTCTGAAAAATGGTCTGTCAGTTACACTAGGCCTTAGCCAAAGTTGGTTGCTTTAACATAGCAAATGAGACTTTGGGTGATTGCTCAGGTAGCCAATTGTCTCTGAAATATACTGCTCACTCTGGAAGCTGCTTGATTGCACTTCCTGCCTACTCAAGTAATATTATCTCCCTTCTCAGGCTTTCGATGGGGTTGAAGATTAGATAGTCATGGTTACCATCTTCTTATGGTTTAGCCAAGCCTATTTCCAATGCAATACTTAGACTCTTGGAATAGAATATCTATTCACATTTTTCATGTGTTCCTTGCTTAACATTGTTGGTTGTAATTTTATACTTGATATCTGTTCCTATTGTATATAGTTTTGTATTGCTCTTATTTAGACAAAAGGGGGAGGTGACGGGGAATATTTGCCAACCAATTATCTTTAAGAGGTGGTACCCAGTTAGGGTGTGCTTTCTGGGACCAGGAGAAAAACAGTGCATGGCCCAGGAGCCCTCTCTCTGTGTGGTTCCCTCACAGCACAGCTGAGCTTGGACTTTGATTCCTGTCTTGTGAACTATCTACTATCTATCTATCTATCTATCTATCTATCTATCTATCTATCTATCGTTTATCTACCATCTCTCTCCCTTTTTCTAGTCTTGCACAGAAACACTCTCCACAGGAGGTATGTAGCCCCTGCTACAGGATCATTTTACTCCAGCTAGTCATAAGGCTCCTCCAAATATTGCTTAGTTAGACTATCAAGAGGGGTTCCTTACCCCACCTCTACCCCCAACAGGGTCTTCTCAAATTCTGCATTTGATTAGACAGTCCTAACCTGCACTGTCATCCTAGATGAGAGTTGAAGAACATTCGTTCCAGTCTGACAGTCAGAGATGCTGGGGCTGGGTCCTGAACCTCTGTGAGCCCTGCATGGATGTGTGGCAGCCTAAGACAATTAGCATGCCTACTCCGTGGACCTGTCCCTACAAGTCTCAAGAAACTTCTGTCTTTGGTTGCGGTGATCCAGTCTACTAGCAGAGCACATATGACTGGGAGGAGAGAGTTAAGAGCAGGGATCGGAGAGGTGGCTTGTGCATTAAGAGCTCTTTTGGCTGTCCAAGAAGACACACCTGACAGCAAAGACAGCAAATAAACGTCTTTAATGTGCATTCCAGGTGACATCCACTGCCCTCATCTGGCTACTTTGAGAATTGCATGTACGTAGTGGCAAAACACCCACAATAGACATAAAAGCACCACAAAATGACCCAACATGTCTTGGAGGACATTATTTCTGCTGTGCAGTTATCATTTTTGCATATCACCCACGTTTCAAGAAATCCAGAGGAAGACTGCTTTGCATTTCCTTATTTTTTGTATACTCTTTTGTTGAATGTTCTCATTTCCCGAGAGGCCGGGAACAATGCAGTTGTGTGATGTGGGACGCCCCTCTGTATGCTGTGAATATGTTTTACTGCCATTGCTTAATAAAGAAGCTGATTTGGCCAAGGGTCCAGCAGATTATAGCTACGCAGGAAATCGAAACAGAGATACAGAGAGAAGGAAGGCAGAGTCTAGGAGATGCAGTGTAGCCAGCCACTGGAGGAGTGGGATGCCAGAGAATTAGTGGTAAATCACAGCATGCGGCAATGCACAGATTAATAGAAATGGGTCCATTTAAATGTAAGAACTAGCTAGTAATAAGCCTGAGTCATTTGCCAACAATAATAATTAATATTAAGACTCAGAGTAATTATTTATAGGCATCAATCGGACAGCGCAGAACACAGAAAACCCTCGGCTACAGTTAGTTGTGTTTCCCTTTAGTTTTCTCTGCATGATGATGTCATGATGTTGTACAGTGTGTGCACCACGTTCTACTGAACCTGAATATATGACCCCGAAGATGCGATATGTCTAGTTTCTCTGTAGACTGCTGGGTATACACGGAGCAGGCCATGCCATCCGTATCCATATCCAAGGTGCCATCTGCCTGTGTAGCCCATGGCTGGGAAATCATTGTGCAGCCCAAGTGGCCTGGAACTTGCTGATACAGATCCACGCCTGTGAGTTGTGAGTTTACAGGAGTGTGACAGCTCACCTGACTAAAGAAGAGTCTTAAGAGTGGAAAGTTGGAAATTGCTTTTTATTCATAAAGCATTCATTTATTCAATGGGGGCTTTAAGACAGCAGTCATTATAGACAGTGTGTAACCTTAACAAACTATTAAAACAATGGAAAGAACAAAATAAATAACAAAAGATAACAAAACCTTACACTAAGATGAAGAAAACCAAAAAAACTAATGCAGATATCCCAATATATAAACCAAACCAAAACAATCTAAAACATAACAAAAACAACCAACCAAACAAAATTAAGCAAAATTCCTACTTTCCTTTGGAATTTTCTTTAAGTAAAAGGAAATCAATAACATGAGACAAGAGGAAGTGGATTAGTCTCTGTAGGAAATTATCGTCACCAACACGTTTGCGTGATATGGGGTCAGCGTCAGCTCTGCACTAGAGAGAGAATCTTATGCTTTGGGTGTGGTCTGTCTGGATAGCAGTGTGACAGAGTCTTCCTTGTCAGATTCCACATCACATATGGAGTCAACTTGCCAAAGCCCTTGACAGTAGCTGACCGATTAACTCTTGTTTACCCATATAACTCCCTCCATGTTGTTTTACCCACACCAGGGCCACTAGGTGATGGATGTTAGGCTTCTGTGTAATTCATGGGGTGTCCTCTGAATCTCAAGCGTATTTATGATGTTGTCTTTTCTCTGGATGTGAGCCAACAGAGGTGGATCAGATTGTGGCTGGATCCTCTGATGGTAGGTTGATGGTTTCCTCAATGCTGAATTCACAGCAGAAAGGATGCGGCTTTTTCAGAGGAGGCCTGGATCCTGGAGTATAGAATGTCATGCCTTCAAGGTGTCTCTGGCTTTCTCCAGCCTTCTGAGTTCTCTTAAGAGGTGCTGTCAGAGAAGAAGTGGAAATCAGACATAGAAACTGTCTCTCTGGGACACTGGCACGAAAAATAAATCAGGACCTAGTCAACTCTAGTAAAATAAAGTCAAGGAAGAAAACCCACACCATGAATATCCAGGTTGGTGGGAATGGGGCTCCATGGTGGCTCACTTGCCTGGCACATAGTGCTCCTGCTGCAGCAGCTCCATCTGCAGGAGCCTCTCCTCCTGGGCTGTGGTCTCTTCCAGTTCATGCTGGAGATGTTCAGACCTAGAGGAGATGGACAGCTAGGACGGAGGCCTGGTGGGGCCCTGCCATGCCAGCTTTTGAGCCCCAACTAGCTACACAATCCAGCATCACCTTTTAGCTGAGCTCATTCCCTGTTTCCCCCAAGGGAAAACGGATCACAGAGACCCTGGGCTGGATGTTTTCGCAACTTTTAAAAACTGCTAAAAGTTGAACTGGAAAATACACCGTGCTGACTAGAAAAAAAAAAGAGTATATTTTCTCAACAGCCCAAAAACATTAATTTGGAGAAATGTCAATGTCTGAGTCACAGTTCAGGAAAGATGATCCGGGCCACGATTGGATGCCAGGTCAATGTGAACAACCTGTAAAACTCCATGTCTGCCCTCTAGTGGAGCCTACACAACATTGCAGAGAAGGCTCTGATTGTTCCTACAGCTCAGAACCTGCATGGGGTTAATTTGTCAGCTCCTAATCTGTTTATGGCCAGAGTAAATCTTCTCACAGGAAACTGATGAACCCTGCAGAGAGCCTGCAACCAGCTGGAGTGGGCTGCATTCAAATCAGCCACAGACTAGAATATTCTCTCTCAATGTGATGTTCCTGAAGGAAAATAAAGTGGCAGAAGACACACCGTCCCTCACAATTGACCTCCTGCTTCTCACAAGAGAAGAAGGGGACACGATCCTCAAAAGACCAATAACCAAACATATTGTTTCCTGGACAAAAGTTCCTGGTATTAGCCAACTCGATACTCTGAGGTATTCTTTCCCTGGCTTTGGCTGGGAGCCTTGCCAAATGAATAAAACCCAAAGAGAACAGAGATCCAGGTACAGGGGATCCCCTAGGCTCCATCTTCCGCCAGTCCATGCTCCTACCTCGTCTGGGACTCTGCGAAGTGATGCTGCAGCTTTCCTGCCGAGTCCTTTTGCTGGGTAACCAGTTCCTTCGGCTTCAGTAGGGAAGGAAGATGTTTCTCCAGTCTTTGTTGTTCCTAATCATTAGAAAATTGTGTTCTTAGGACAGGGTTGTCTGCATCCACGTAAACATGTGTGCATGCATGCACACAGGCACACACAAACACACACACTCCTTGACACACAGAAGTACATGGATGCACACATACAAGCACACTGCATTGCATCCACATGTGTAGTTCCTAGCTAACACTAATGGAGGAAGAGATCACCTGGGATTGTATAGAGAAGAGAGTTAACTACTTTCCTTAGCCCACACCCTCTCCACCTGTATCCTAACCCAGGCACAGGGATGGGGTGATGTGGTGAGAATTGTGAACTCTGTCTCTGTTTTGGTAAGTTTTCATTTTATTTCTACTTTACATGTGTGGGGGTTTTGCCTGCCTGTGTGTCTAGGCACTACATGCACGCCTGGTCCCTGGGAGAAGAACACAGTGGACAGAGCAGTCAATGTAGTGCTTGCCTTAGAAACCCAAGCCACAAAATGGTGGATGCCAGGGTTCCTTCACCCAGTTAGCCACGCTTGCATAGCCAGTTTTCCAGACTGTCCAATGAAGGCTTAGTTCCGTGGTACAGGACCACTGTCTGGTGGTGGACCAGCCCCCTGCTCTCACTCAGGGCTTCCCAGTGACTCCAAGGGGGGCAGCTTCCTCCAAAAGGAGCTCTCTGAACCACAGGTTACCTCAATTTTGGCCTAATGAGTTCAAGGAATGAGTTCAGAAAACCAGAAAATATCTACAACCAGGAGTCAAACAAACCTTTCCGTCTAGTAAGATGATTATGCCAGGGATTTCTCTAAGTAACAGAAGGCTGACTGACTCATGGCCAAATGAGTGCATGTATTATTTCCTGCTTAACAGTATTCCATGGAAGGGCCTGATTTCACTGAATTTTAACTCATCAATGATGGACATTTGAATATTTTCTGGTTTGGCGGTGCTCTGAGGAATGCTTCTATAACCCAGGTGTCCCCTAGATTCTCTGTGGACTTTTCCTTCTCATTCTGGGATCACAGGGTCATCTTGTGACTGCAATCCAAGTTTCTGAAAAATTATACATAGCTTCACCCAGGGCTACACCATTTTACACCATAGCAATGCCGGGGGGGGGGGGGGGGGTCCTCATTTCTGCCAACGTTCATCAGGCCAACTTTAACTCAGCGTAAAGAAGCTGGGAATGAAAGCAGCTTCTGAGCGCTGCAGACACAACATGTAGTGAGTGCTATAGACTATGATGAGCCTAAGTGGGCTGCACTAAGACAGCCTGTTCTCACAGCTCAGCGTGGCTATGGGACTTCTGCTGGAGGGAGACACCTATGCAGTTCAGAATTTCATTCATTTATTTAAGTTCAGAATTTCTTAAAGAATAAAATCCAGGCCAAGATCCAAGGACAAAACCAACTGAACCAAGATTAGACAAAGGTGAAAGAAAAATGGTAGCAGGCAATGATGAGAAGAAGAACAAAACAGGATGCAGGCAAGTCGTTATTGGACAGTCACCTTTCACCCAGAGCAGAGAAGGACACACATCCTCAACTGGTCTTTCCTGCCAGGTTCTGTGTTGTGAAGCCAACGAGACAAACCAGACATTTCCTGGGAGGTTACCTCAGTTTGGTGAAAGGAAAGAAGTCTACTTTTTGTTTTCAAGAAAGCTCTGGGGTTTGAATTTTTGTATTATAAAACACATTAATTCCAAAATAGTGAAAATGTGTAAAAGTTGAGAGAAAACACCAAGTCCTTTCTCTTTCTTACTAAAAGAACCATTTAGCAATAAGATGATGAGGCAGAAAAAGATAGGAAGCTCGACCTGTGTGGAGACAGGAGATCCAAAGAGCTCTGGCCTGGTAGCTTAAGCGGAACAGAAATATTCTGTTCTAACAAGCAAATGATCCCCAGGCCCTTGTCCTCACTCACACACTCACTCAAAGCTCTGTGATTCTCCCTATGTGGCTCCCAGCACAGAATACTTCCTACCGTACTGACATGTAGGTGTGTGATATGTGATTTACTAATCTCCCTCAATGGACTGCATCTTCTACCAGAGCAGGATGGTTTGTTTTCCAGTCAGGTTGTGTGTTCCAAGAGGTTACTCCCCAGAGAGACTTGTGAAGGATCCCAGATATGGACCATTAGACGGAATGGAGGTGGTCAGCTGGGTAACTGAGTGGACGGTTACATGATGGTGTACATATGTGTATGTGCGATTAGATAGGTGGGCAGCTTGCTCCTGCTGCCTCAGCTTACCCGCTGCTGCTTGCTCCAGAGTTTATAGATCTTCTCATGGGCCTCCTCACAGAGCCTCCTTGTCTCCTCACAGGACTCTTGCAGGGAAATCTGTTCTGCTTTCAGCTTTCTCTTGTCTTCGTTCAACATGCCCACTTTTTCCTTCATCTGTGTCCATTCCCCCAGAAGCTGGCTGTGGAGGGTGCTTAACCATCACAAGCAATGATGAGCTCCAGTCCACCTCCATCTGCCACTCCTACCTACTAATACCACCTTCCCTGCAAGGTCCCATGTCCTCAGATAACACCAGACTGCAGACCACATTAGCCAGGCCAGTGTCCCCTAGGTGATGCACCTCTAAGAACTTGCACCCCCAACACACGCCGGTCCTACACTGATCATGGTATTGGGAGACCATCATCAGGTATAGAGCAAACATGGTCTGAGGGAGGACAGAGGACCCAAGGGGAATACATTCCACATCTGTGTCCCATAGCAACAGGCTATGTAAGCCCCTGTCAGAGTCCCAGAGTCAGAGTCCCAGAGACCATTCATGGTGCAAACCATGTTTTCTATCTAGAAGCTCTGGAAGCTGACAGGATCACGTTGGGAGGGGCTCTTGGAACTCCTTGCACTTGGGAGAAATCAGTCTGGGAGGACAAGTACAAGGTAAACAAGCTAGATCCACAGCCCTCACTTTGGTTCAAAGGCAAAGTGGGGGAAGAAGCTATCCTTCCGAAGTACAGGGGTCCCATCCAATCAGACACTCACCGGTAGGAGTTGATCTCCTCAGTCAGCTTCTTGGACTTGTATGAGCTCTCTCTAATTTCCTTGTGGAATTTCTCCAGCTCTGACATCTCTTTCTGATGATCCATTTTCAGCTCCTCAAGCTCAGATTTCAGCCTATGGTAGAGCATGGGCCCAGGAACAAAGAACCCCATGAACACAGGAATTACGGCTGTGTCTTGAATTATCCTAGTCCACTGGATGTCACATCCTTAATCCTAGGTACTAGGACCTGTTGATGTTTCTTAGACTTGCTAAGCTGCCCCAGTGGCAGAAAGGCAGAGCGTCAAGAGACAGACAGGGCTACATGAGCTTCTTTAGTAGGCCTGGAGGAACAAACTAGCTCTTTTTAAGATGTCCCAGGAGTCTGTGCCACGGGTCTGGGCCTACATGAAACCTGTAATGACATGTCTCCTGTCTTCAGAAAAAAAAAAAGTTTATTCTGTTTTCCTGTTTTCACAGGGATGCCCAGAACTCATAATCAGGATTTCCATGGAGGAAACCATATAGTACAATGACTTTATAAACTCCCCAGGGAATTCCATTCAGTCACCAAGGCAACCTCGAAGAATGAGGGCAGGGATGCTCAAAGTGGGACTCTCTGGCCTCAGCACTTATATCACCTGAGACTCTGAGACAAACAAATCATCGGCCCTACTACCAATCTCTGACTCACATCATCTGGACAAACACACACACAAACACACACTATAAGGGAACCCCTCAGAGACAGTACAGAACACACTCAGACATCACAGCACAAAGAAGATTTAGTGACTCAGAGGAGCAATCATTGAATGGGGGGGAGGGAGCTGCCTCTGAATCAGGCAAGGGCTGAAGGCAAGGAATGGGTTGTTTTTTGGTTTTTTTTTTTTTGTTTTTTTTTGTTTTGTTTTTTTTTTTTTCCAGCCATGGGTTTTAATGAGATAAGGGGAAGTCTGTGCTAGGATGAGTTGGTGAGACCTGATTGGACAGGTAAGCCAGAACACCCAAATAATGAATTTTGATTTCTGAACCTCAGTGTTTGTCTTCAGGAATGAGTCAGTGGCCAACGAAGGAATGAGCCCTGGGGACTAATTTTAGGAATGCAATTAAATGTTTTATCAAGGGAGGGAGAAGTGAAAAAGGCAAAACCTGCCACTGCCATATGGGCAATGTTTGGGCCCCTTAGCCTTCACCCACATAAACCCATACACAATTAGGATGTTAGAAACAGGCAGGTAGGTGACTTTATCTCAGAGTACAAGAAACAAGAGCAGATAGCTTCCCAGATGAGCTGCAGGCCTCCCAATCACACACTGAGATGGACCTAGTGGACCAGGCCCTGCTCTCCGAGCATCCAGCAAGAAATCACCCAGTCAAAAACAAAGACTCCCCAAGAACTCAGCCCCAGCATCTCCCACAAGCCAACACCTATCCAGGCCTCTTTGAAATGCATGTTGTGAGCTCACACACTACTGCCCCATCCACAGAATGTGACTCAGGCCGCAGGCTCTGCTTTTCAGTAAGAGGAGGCAGAGCAGCCTGTGTCCCCATCTCACTCCTGCCCAGGCTTCAGTTCTGCCTCTCAGATGCACATGGGAAAAGTAGTTTGGGCAGGAGGACACGTTGGAGGTGAAGCCTCAAGTGCCATGAGAAATGAGGGGTGGACACAGGATGGTCAAAACAGTCACCAGAGAAGTGGACATAATGACTACCTGTTGTTCAAATCATTGTTGGTATAATTGGCCAGGATTGCACGAAGTTCATTCCTCTCATTGGTCATCATCTGGAGCTGAAGGGTCAGTTCATCGACCTTGTTCATCTTCTTCTGCTCCTGCTCAGTGACGGAGGTTGAGGTTGATGTTTTTCCAGCACTCCCTGTAGGTAGATGTTTATCAGTGAATTTGTCCAGTTAGATGGTACGGGGCTGTGAGAGATCATGTTGAGTCCCAAAAAGAGGCCTAAGGAAGAGGGAATGCATGAAGACCCCCAAAGAACAGAACAACTGTACTCCAGTTGGAGCCCATAAGCCATGTCTCCTTCCCCAATCACCATTGCTAGATATTTCCGTTAATATTTAGAAATGTTATTTTCAGCTGTGTGACTTTTGTTTATGCTGCATTTGTTTAACTCTGTGAAGGTGTGTTACTGTGCCTGTCTAAAACACCTGATGGTCCTAATAAAGAGATAAATGGCCAATAGCGAGACAGGAGCAGGGATAGGTGGGACTAGCAGGCAGAGTGTGTAAACAGAAGGTGAACTCTGAGAGGAGAATAAGGAGGAGCCCAAGAAGAAGACGGGAGGACTCAAGGAGCCAGCTACTAACTCACTCAACAGCCATGGTGTAAGAGTGAAAGATTTACAGAAAAGAGAGATAAAATCCCAGAGGCAAAAGGTAGTCGGGATAATTTAAGTAAGAAAAGCTGAAAAGAAGCATCCCAAAGTAAGTATATAAAGCCTCTGTGTGTGATTTATTTGGGATCTTGGTAGTGGGTCCCCCAAGAAAGCCAAAAGAGTAAAATATCCCACAACACATCAGTCCCTACTGCAGGCCCACTGACCCTGGGAGGTACAGGCTAGCCCAGTCATGCTGGTTTCAAAATGTCAGCTCCTGTCTGATAAGATGGAGGAAGGTCCTGATGCCCTCGTGAATTTCACCTCCCAGACCAGCTAACTTGTGTCCAAGACTAAAAGCAACCGAGTGTCTCAGACCTGAGTGCAGGGATGGGGAGTTTCCCTTCCCGATATTCACATCAGATACCCAAGGAACCTACAGATATCCACTGAGGAGAAAGTGCAGGAACACCCAACCTTGACGACTCACAGTGACACTGTCTCCTGCTGTATTCTTTCACACTCAGAATTATAGTAAGGAGCTCCCAGCACAGTGGCTGCAGCCTTGACCATTCCTAACTCTCGGCAGAAATCCTCCAATTGTGGAAGCATAGGCCCATTGCTTCAGATGGTCCCACCTACCAAACCCCATTTCTAGAAGGTCCCATTTGAGTCTCACCTTCTTCTTAGAAAACCAGAAATCGCTCTGCCAGTTGGTCTTGTACATATCTCTTGGTGAACCGTATAAACAATAAATGCCTCTAGGGAAGTTGGCATTGCCACCATACTGGTGTTGCCATAGAAGATGCCAAGCGCTCTCCAGGATACGACAGAATGTTCAGACAAGAGACTTTTGGGATCATCACCTATCTGATAGATAGCTCTTTCCCAATTCAGAAAAAATCAAGCTACCCTTTCCAGGAGCCTTTCCTGAGTCACAGCCAAAGCCTTTCAGCACCTCTTCCTTTCAATCCAGAGGTCTCCCCGATTATTAGAATCAAGTTCATTCTAATTCACAAGCTCATCCTGGGTAGAGGACAAGATTTACTTTCCAGAGACTTCCCAGGAATGGCTCTTGCCATCCCTAAGACGACTAATCAATAAGATGAGAAATAAAGGATGCTAAGACTTTAGCCCAGGATGATGGGGAAGAAGATCAGATCCATACAGTGGACAAGCACATCAGAGAAGACACATGGGACTGAAACATTGTATGGGGCGGTGGGGGATTGGGGGTGTCCTTTCAGAACAATAATAAATCACATGGGTAATAATGAAAAATTGATCGAAAGCTTCAGAAGAATACTTTCCAGCCCTCACAGTGTTAGCAAAGGCATGATCAGCTGTTCATAGGTGAGGCTGAATATACCTAAGGCCTGGGCATCCCCAGGGGAGCCCCCAGACACCAGGAACAAACATTTCCAGGAAGAGTGATAGCCCATTCCTGCACTCTGGTTAGAGGAGAGATGATTGGCTAGCGAGAGGAGAGGAATTCAGAAACCTTAGGGGTCACTGACATGCAGCAACAATTGGTGGCTCCTGCCCTGCAAGGGGTTGTGATGTAAAATGTGAGGACCTCCTGCTTTGTCCGGGGGACTTTACTCTCCCTGTCTTTAGTGACACAGATGCAAAAGAAATCCAGTGACGGTGAAGGGCAGCGCTGGAACTGGAACCTCGGTGGTCCTTCTGTGCTTCCCTCACACAGGCAGAGGGAAAGCAGAGGGCCCCCAGCACAGCAGTTGAAGCCTTGACCATCCCTGGCTCTCTGCCAAACACACCATCAGAAATCCTCGACTCTGGGTCTGCTCTTTAGTAACTCAGAAAAGCAGAGAAGACTCCCACCTCCTGAGTCCCACTCCTGAAAGGATCAACTTAAGCCTTCCTCTTCAGGAATCTCTCTGTCCCCTGCCCAGGACTCACTGCGCTTTCTCCGGAACCATTTATTTCTTGATGCGTGACTCGGAGACTGAAGGCCATCTTCCCTGTGCCTCTCTCTGGTCTCCCTGCGCTCTCCATCCTGTCTCCCAAGCAGCCTGTTCAGTCGTTTCAGCATGGCTGTGGGTGAACCACACAGGCACTGAACGAATGCCTCAAGGGCAGTTGGCGTTGCCACAACACTGGTGACATCACAGAATTCCAGGCTCTCCAGGATACAGTAGAATGTCCAGGTGGGAGACTGCGGACGTCATATGATACACATTATTTTACATACAGAATTATTTACACTGTTTGCCTAACCATCTTTCTTCTCTAGACTAAAACATAAAGATTCATCATGAAAGAAATCTGGGGTAGAAGCATGTGGGTGTACAAAAGCCAATGGGATGAAGCCTTCAAGTCTCTTGTTTTACACAGCAGCATCTACGAGAAAGCACCCCAAGAGAAAAAAACATTATTGTTTTTATGACAGTTTGATATCACCCAGACTCAGCCATCAGTCAGTCCAATGCTGGCGTGATGAGCAAACCACAGCTGTGGCCTTGGAACCAGGGATGGTAGTTACCCATGGGTTATTTAGCCACTGCCATCAACAGATGCTCAACCCAGTGACAGATCTAATACTGTGTCCACAAGATGGAACACTTCATCAAAGAGACCAAGTACCAACTCAGCGGCTGACTACATCTGATCCTGCTACATCTGACCTAGAGACAGGAGTCATATATTATCATGGATCTATAATATATCGATATATATATTGATATATAATCATATATATTATCACCACAGGGATGTGTTTGAGAGATGGGTGTGCCTCTTGCGTCTATGGGCCTAGTTAGTAGCATGAGTCAAAGAACCTCAGAGTATTCACATCTTCCAGCAAGACAGTCCACAGAAGAACCTGTCTGACAAGGGTATTCTTGTGACAGCAAAAGAACTACAGGAATTGGCCTAGGCTGGTGTATCCCTCTGATCACATACCACACCCACAACACACAGTAGCATTAGAGGGCCTGCTGACTGCAGAGCTGAGGTTCGGGTTAATAGCTCACTGAGAAAACTGTTGCTATCTTCTGCATTGGATGATGGCCTCTTATTTAACATTGTGTTTCAAGTAGAAAGAAAACCTGTGTCTGGTAACATCCAAGGGATATAGGCAGGAATGACCATGCTTCCCATCACTCAGTGATCAGCTGGGTATTCAATGCTTCCTGTTCTTACTACTGTAGACTCTCTGGAGTTTGAGAGAGGTCCTGGTCCCCAAAAGTACTTTCACCGGGGGTACAGCAAGGTTACTCTTGAGCCAGAAGGGATAGCAGATACCTGTAATCCTAGCACTCAGAAGACAGAGCAAAAAAGAGGCTCCCTGTAAGCTTGAGACCATCTTGGTATGCATAGTCAGTCACTGAAAATAATATGTAAGCAATTTCCTAAGTCTATAATCTACTATTACATGGATGACATTTTATTATCTGATTCAAATGTAGATACTTTAGAAAGAATGTTTAAAAAAGTAAAGAAAGTTTTACCTAAATGGTGATTACAAATTGCTCCTGTAAAGATTCAGAGAGGAGATTCTGTTAATTACCTAGGTTACAGAATAGGTTTACAGAAGATTAGAACACAAAAGGCACAAATTAGGAGAGAATAGTTGTGGACTCCTAATGACTTTCAAAGATGGTTAGGAGACATTTCCAGTCTACGACCAGCTGTTGGGATAATACCTGATCTAATAATTCATTAAACAAAACCTTAGATGGTGACAAAGACTTAAATAGTCCCAGAGAATTAACAGCTGAAGCAGAAAAGGAATTGATGATTGTTGAGGAGAAATTATAGGAGGCACATATGGATAGGGTGAATCCAAATCTTAATTGTATTCTAGTCATATTGCCTTCCAGAATTTCTCCCACAGGAATTTTAATGCAGGGGAATGATATTACCTTAGAATGGATCTTTTTACCACAGAAATCAAGTAAAAAATTAAAAAAAACTTATATGGAAAACGTCTCTGAATTAATTATAAAAGGTAAATTGAGCATTCATCAACTAGCAGGTAGAGACCCAGCAGAGATTATAGTGCCTTTCACTACTGATGAAATAAAAAAGTTATGAGAAGGCAATGAATCTTAACAAAGAGTTTGTGTTAATATTTTGGGAGAAATTAATAGCAATTATCCCAAAAGCGATAGACTTAACCTTATAAAGAGAACTTCTTGGATTCTTGCCAGAATTGCATGCGATGCACCAATAACCGGAGCCTGTACATTTTATACAGATGCAAATAAATCAGGGAATGCAGGTTACAAATAAGAAGAATTAAGTAAGGTGGAACAAAGCACTTATAATTCTGTCCAGAAGGCAGAATTATATGCTATTCTTATGGTGCTAAGGGATTTCAAAGAACCTCTCAATATAGTTACTGATTCATAATATGCAGAAAGAGTTGCCTTGCATATGGAAACCACTGAATTTATACCAGATGATACAGAATTGACTTCATTATTCATTCATATACAAGAAAAGTCAGGAATAGGCTTTGTCCTATATACATAACACACGTCCCTCTCATATGGGTCTGCCAGGTCCCCTAGCACAAGGTAATGCAGAAATTGATCAATTGCTGATTGGAAGCATATTGCAGGCCTCAGAATTTCGTGACAAACATCATGTCAATAGCAACGGTTTAAAGAAAGTTTTCTATTACATTGGCAACAAGCTAAGGAGATTATAAAGAGATGTCCTATTTGCTCTTTCTAGAACTAAACACTGTTACCTGCAGGGAGTAACCCAAAGGGTACCCAAAGAAATGAGATCTGGCAGATGGATGTGTTCCACTTTATGGAATTTGGAAAATTAAAATATGTGCACCACACCATAGACTCGTATTCAGGTTTTCAATGGGCAACTGCCTTGAGCTCAGAAAAGGCTGATTCGGTAATTACACACTTATTAGACATTATGGAAATCATGGGTATTCCTGCACAAATAAAGACAGACAACGGTACAGCATATATATCTAAGAAAATGAAACATTTTTTGCTTATTATAATATAATTCATATTACTTGTATGCCAAATAATCCTACAGGTCAGTCAGTTATAGAAAGGTCAAATTGAATTATATAAGATATGCTAAAGAAACAGAAAGGGATGGAAAATATCCCCAGAAATAGATTGCATAATGCTTTATTAACCTTGAATTTTCTTAACACAAATGAGAAAGGAACAATGGCAGCAGAGATAATGGGAAAAAAAAAAAACTTCTGAATTGAATCAATCAGTATATTTCAAGGCAGTGTTGACCTCACAATGGAAACTGGGAGATGTGCTACGTTGGGGGAAAAGGTTTCTCCCTTGTTTCCACAGGAGAAGAAAAACAATGAAAACCATCAAAATTAGTAAAGATTTGCTTTGAAAAAGAGAAACCTCTTGAGAAAGAGAAATGATGGATCATCCGCAGTGGTAACAACTATATAGGTGGTGAGGAAATCATATAGGGTTGGGGCAGGGTTCTGCTCTTGTCTTTACAGGAAAATACATACCTTCAAAAATTCAAGAGACCCTGGATGTTTGGATGCTGACAGAAGGAAAAATAACTATCCAATAAGGATTATCAAGGAAAAGGAATATAACTTATGAGGACAGGTGATCAAAACATATACATATACATATATATATGAATATATAGAGCTGGATTTGGAGTTGGACAATGGCTCTGTCCTTCTCTAAATCCAAGTGTGTTGTTAAAAGGAACATTCAGAGTTCCTGTCTTATGTCAGGAGCCATCTGGTATGGGACAGAAGGAAGATTTTAGGAAAAATTTTACTTTCTCTATGCCTATTTTGTCTATATTGTATGTATGTTTATATGAATGATGTTTAAGTTTTTCGCAATGAACAATAGAGTTTACTAAAGATGCTTTTCCTGCAGTAATCTTTGAAGTTTCCAGTAAGAAGATGGAGCCCCACAGCAACAATTCCATCTGGTTGAGATGTCATCATGATGCTGACAGCGCTACTACAAGACTGTCTTTTGAATACCAGCTGCTGAAATGATGCACCTTCTCATGACGTTCTGGCCAGAACTCCAAATAAGAACTTTGTAAAAAGCCCTATTAACTACTCAGAAATCATTATACTAGACAGTAATCTTGAAACTTAACCATCATTTTACTTTTACAAAATCCCATAAAAAGAACATCACTCCCATGACAACTGGAAGCAATTCTAGAAGATGACGTCCCCTCTCCCAACGAAGTTTGTTCTCAGGGTTGGGGATACTGTTGAAGGGGTTGTTGACTATTACTTGTCTAAGGTAGAGGGTTAGGGTGGAAGCTATGTAGGCTCAAAAGAATAAAAGAGGGGAAAATTGAATGGGATATTAGTGTGAACTTATTCACTAACAATAATAGTGGGTAATAGAGCGAATACTTGTGAGCTATTATTTATGGATAATTTACATTGGTATACTTTTTTGTATATTGATACAAGTTCAAATTATATTTGTTATTTCTGTTTACAATATTTGTACCCCTATGCAAAGTTATTCTGTCAGATTGTATACATGCATGTTTCTATCTCTCTTTAGAACATTTTGTATATTGATACAAATTTTAGGGTATATTTTCATATTGCATTATATATTATTCTTACCTCTGATCAAGATACTTATATATTGCTTACATTTTAAGGTCATTGTCCTCATTTGTTGCACATTTGTTTACAGATTATTTAATATTCTGACATGAAGTCTTAATCTTAAATTATATAGGTATTAAATATTATAGGTCAATAGTTGTTAATGTTTGTTATACATATAGTTAGAATAATTAGGTTCCTTAGATACATAGAGATTGTATTCTGCCTAGATAGGTAACCTTCAACCACTTCAAGGATCTGTAGAACATGGCATTCAAATAATTTAGGGTTCTTTTGAACCCTAAGAGACATGATTGCTCCGGATAGCACCAATCTATGCCCAAGAGAACGTTGAGCACCAAAGACACTCCACTCTGAGTTTGTTTTCTTCTTGGCACAATTAGCTTTTGGGTAAGGAACTGCCCATGCCTCAGCCACTGACAAAGTCCATGGTATCTTCTGGATAAGCAGGACACAAGGAAAAGGACTGCCAAACCCTGCCAAGACAGGGTAAGACTGTTCTGAAAAATGATCTGTCAGTTACACTAGGCCTTAGCCAAAGTTGGTTGCTTTAACATAGCAAATGAGACTTTGGGTGATTGCTCAGGTAGCCAATTGTCTCTGAAATACTGCTCACTTTGGAAGCTGCTTGATTGCACTTCCTGCCTACTCAAGTAATATTATCTCCCTTCTCAGGCTTTCAATGTGGTTGAAGTCATGGTTACCATCTTCTTATGGTTTAGCCAAGCCTATTTCCAATGCAATACTTAGACTCTTGGAATAGAATATCTATTCACATTTTTCATGTGTTCCTTGCTTAACATTGTTGGTTGTAATTTTATACTTGATATCTGTTCCTATTGTATATAGTTTTGTATTGCTCTTATTTAGACAAAAGGGGGAGGTGACGGGGAATCTTTGCCAACCAATTATCTTTAAGAGGTGGTACCAAGTTAGGGTGTGCTTTCTGGGACCAGGAGAAAAACAGTGCATGGCCCAGGAGCCCTCTCTCTGTGTGGTTCCCTCACAGCACAGCTGAGCTTGGACTTCTCATTCCTGTCTTGTGAGTTTTCCCCTTATAATAAATAAAAACACATTTTATCTTTTAACTAGCCTGGTTATTCCCCGAATTGAGCTAACTTCTACAGTGCACATTGGACTCTGTGTCTAGAGACCAGGAAGAAAGAAGGAAAGCCTGGGTGTTGATGGGGTAATTGGCCCAGCAGAAGCAGAGCTCATATTATCACAGCAGGACAGGGTGTGGGTGGGAGGAGTGTCTCGTGTGCGTGACTGCTGGAATGCCTGTTTTGATAGTACAGGGACAAACACAGCAACTTTGAGCTGAGCCTGGAAGTCAGGACTTCAGCCCATTCCTGGAAGAGGCTGTGGGTCATGCCATCAGGTAAGCCACTGAAACCACAGAGGTCAAGCTCAGAGGGAAGGGAATAAGGAGTCAATAAAGAGGAGACAGCATAGAAGCATTAAGTGTGGGCTCAACATCAGCCATGATGTCCGAGTCAGGAAAGTTTTCGCGATAACGCCCGCTTGTGAGGTTTCTGTCAGGAAGAAGAGGCCCATGGGAATTCTGGAAGAACTGCTTCTGGAATACACGCGGAAGGAGTTCAAAAGGTACCAGCAGGGGACCAGAGGACACAGCTGAGGCCCCGGATATGCCCTCCAGGGAAGGACTGACAGCTGCCTGTGACGTGTGCCAGGAAACACCCGATGACAAGATGCAGCATGACTAGGAGAAACCCAGAGACAGGTACTGGCGTTCAAGCTGAAGATCAAAAAAGCAACGCAGCCAAGCCACGAGAGAGGTCTTACCTCTACCAAGGCTCAAACAATGGGGGCGATCTGTCTTCAGCGTGACTGTAGACGGCAATGCTCGCCACCAAACCTCCGACTTATATTCTTCTCTCTGCCCAACAACATCACACCTGTCTCCACCTCCCTAGTGCTGGGATTAAAGGTGTGTGACATCACTGCCTGGCCTCTAGTGTCTTCGCTCTGCCTTCTGCTCTTCAGGCAAGCTTTATTTGTTAAAATACGAACAGAATATCACTACACAAGAACCTGCAGAATCCTTCAGTGTCTTCCTCGGCTAAAGAGAACTGCTTTACCAAAGGGCATGGCGTCCCTGAGCAGCGCAACTGGTGACTGAACAAGGTGGGGTTTAACAGTACACAGTACAACGCTTTTCCTCTGAGGCAGGGAACCGGCCAATCACAGTTCTCCAGAGCACCCCATAGGCAGACCACAGCTTTGTTGAACCCATACACATGTCCCGCTTCTCCTCCTGTTCTCTCCTGCTTCTTTCTTCCATGGGTACTGATGCCTGATGGGGGTCTAGCACCCGAAATTGTCTCATATCTTCCCCTAGAGAACACAGACCGGCAGCATTTCCGCTGCCACAGATCTTCCCTCCACAATCTTAAGGCAAAAAATGTAACCTTATTTGCCAAATGACAGAAAAGAAAAGAAAAATCGCTTCCACGGTGCTTTCCGTGCTCTGTGGAAAGCAGAAACAGGGCATTGTCTGGGCCAAAATGGAGCAACCGGTCTCCCCAGGTCCAAACACTTCCTATTGGTCGCCTGCCTCGGATAATTACTGCAAACGCTGTTTTTTTGTTTCAGTTACGGTAAAACTCTGGATGTTAGCCAAATCCGCTAAGAGTTCAAAAGTACAAAGCTCTTTAGGAGGCTTTTCCTTTTTTAAATATTTTTTCAGAGGTTAAAAATTAAATTTCAGGGGAGCCTGTGGAATGAACATGAGTCTTTGTGGAGACAGCCGGCGCACCTCCAGCATGAAGCTTGCTCTCTTTCTTCTGTTAAATTTGCTCCTCCACTTGAGTTCTTACAAGGTGAGTGATGCCAGCGTCAGGGGATTCTCTTAAGGAGACGTTTTGAAGGTTATAAAAGTATAGGAAAGTCCTTAAAAGATGTGATTTAGACTTAAATATAACTTTAGGTTAGTTGTTAGGAATGCAAATATACAGTAGCAGGCGTCTTTATTAGCATCTTGTTGAGAGGAGTTTAAGGAAACAGTCTTTTGATGCTTGTGCATGTTCATTATTATTGAGCCGAACAAGAGCATCCTTGATTCATTGCTATAAGTTATTGTCCTATTAAATCAGTAAACATTCACTGTGCATCCACCTGTAAGGCATGGTGATACGAAGATAAGACTGGTTCTTATTATTATTATTTTCCCTTTGACATAGTTAATCATCTTTCTCCAATTTCCTTAAAAGGATACTATAAGCAAGACTTAAAGTACATGTGAAAATGCAAAACAAGGGATAATGAATATATATATACATACATACATACATATATACATATATTCTTTACTTGCAATGGTATCACATCCTGATGAACCCATCATATATTGAAAGTATTGTAAGTGGGAAATGTATTTAATGTAGCTGAGCTTCCCAGTGTAGCCTATTTTAATCATGCTCAAAGCACACTGTCCTGAAGTTGGACAGAATTACCTAATAAATGCCCATTTTATAAAGCACGAATTATCTTATGCAGTTTGTTGAAGACAGTTCTGTATACTGGGCATTTGTATACATATTGTATACATGTCAGGGTGTCAAAACACAGTGTCTAGGATACACTGGCAAGACAATATTGCTCACCTGATGATCATGCGGCAGATGGGGAGTTGTGACCCAATCTTTCACCAGTATTTCCCCACCATCACTAGTCTAAGAAAGATCAAAATTTGTAGCATAGTTTTCTCCTAAATATGTATCATTTTCATACTATTGTAAAGAAAGGGGTTATAAAATATCTCTCTACACCTAATTGGCAAACAGTGAAAACACCAGTTGGCAAATAACTTTAGTGAGAGGACAATTCACCCGAAGCCTAAAGGTCAGGAAGAGACTGTGGGAGGGGGAGGGATTTATGCCGGACCCGTCATTCCAGACTCAAGCTGGTCTTTGGTGAGAAAGAAGGATGCATTGCGGTCCTTTCAGGAAGAAAAGAGAGCAGATATTTGAAGTGTCGCTTTTCCCCCAGATAAGCAAGTCTAGCCCATCAGAGTGAAGCCTCTGTAGTTTCTTAAAGAGATAAAGCTGCAGCAGTGCATGGTCTCTTAAGACTAAACATGTTTAAGACACTTTAACTATCTGTTGATGACTGTCAACTGTGGTGATCAAGGAACTTTGAGATAGCATTGCCAAAATGTTTTGTCTTCATGCAGCTTGAAGAAGCAACAATGTAACAAAAAACTAGTTATGAGAACAGGATTATGTATTTGGCGTGTACCATTTAAAATGTTATTATTATATTTATAAAGTGGGACTAAGCTAAACACTTATTAATAAAGTGCATTGAATTACAGAATATTTTGTTATAAAAGTACACATATGTGCATAGATATATAGACACAGACCCATAGATGTATAGCATAACTGCTTCTATATATGACAATTAAGAGGTTCTTCCAGTGTTTGTGTCAAATATTTTACAGTTGTTGTCTCTGGGTATTGGGTTTGCTGGTGGTTTATATTTCCTAGGTTTTTAAATTTCACAACTAAAAAAACCCTTTTTTAAAAAAAATATGTGTTTATTTATTATGTATACAATATTCTGTCTGTGTGTATGCCTGCAAGCCAGAAGAGGGCACCAGACCTCATTACAGATGGTTGTGAGCCACCATGTGGTTGCTGGGAATTGAACTCAGGACCTCTGGAAGAGCAGTCAGTGCTCTTAACCTCTGAGCCTTCTCTCCAGCCCCCTCAAAAAAACCTTTTTTGTTAAAACATTTATAATTAGAAATTTCATTTAAAATATTTCTATCCTGTTCTAGTCTCATTCCTGCTACCATGATAAATGCTCTGACAAAAAGCTTCTTTGAAAGAAAGGGTTTGTTTGGCTTCTAATTTTAGGGGATAGCCCATAATTGTGGAAAAGCCAACACTGGGAAGTCAAGCACCACATCTGTGGACGAGAGCAGAGAGAATAAACACACGAATCCTTGCTCGCTCTCAGCTAAACTCCCCGGGGTACACTGTTGTAGACCCATTTCCTATGGGATGATGCCGCCTGCAAAGACGGGGGCCTTTCCACATCTCTTAGCAACCAAGACCAATCCCTTGCAGAGATGTGCAGACACACACTTCACTCTGGACCACCTGATCTGCAGCGCTGGTCGTCGAGAGTCTCTTCTCATAACTCCAGATCAGGAAAAGTTGGCAGGTTCCTGGAATAAATTTAAAAACAAGATAAACACTAATACTACCCCCTTGAAGAAAGAAAAAGTGTCTTTCTTATATTGAACAGTCTTCCAGAAATAAGGTTTTCATCAGTGTTTTAAGAGCTGGCGTTTGGGGCCAGCTAAGTAGCTCTATGAATAAAGACACTTGCCACCAAAGCTCATGACCTGAGTTTGATCCCTCATGGTGCGAGAAGAGAACAAACTCTCACAAGTTGCCCTCTGGGCCGTGGCTCATGTACCTCACTATCCACAAAAACATGGGTGCAGTGAAATAAAAGCACAGTTAATATGAAATTTGCAAAAATCTCAGAAGTTAAAAAAATAGTTTATGAAAGAAAGTGAAATTTTTATTTCACCTTTTATAATGTACCTTATTATAGAGGCAACCTAAATGTGTTCAAATAGCTTAAACTGTGTTTTCAAAATGAAATTCCAGTCAGCTGGAAGACATTTTTGCTATTTTTAATGCTAGAGGCGGATTTCTTCCTAGGAAAGAAATACCCCTGCCCTTTTTTGGTTTCCTTAAATCAGAGCATCATGATAGACGATGTGAAAATAATTAAGTCAACGAGGACTGACTGTAAAATTACACATAAGTTGCTTTTAAGAACCAAGAAAGAATGTTACTAAACGGGACCCTGCTCTTCAAGATGCTGGTCTTAGAGATGGCAGATTTCAGGGGTGCGCTCGCTCACCCTTCAGCCAACCATAGACAGGCGAGAACTAGTCTCTGCAGCAGAGGAGAGGCTCTGGGTAGTTACAGCTGAAGACTGCAGCAGGAGATAGGAAGTTAGAAAGCACTGGTCTACGCAGACATAATCAAATGCCTCCAACAGTTGCCATGCTGGCTCACCTGTCAGAGGCTGAAGGAAAGCAAATACCTAAAAGCAGGCAAGGGGCTGAAATCTGGAGTGGTCTGGGGTTTGTTGCTTCCTAGATTCTCCTCGGTTTAAGGTCCTCCTGCACCCTGGTCTTTTGCCTATTTCTGATTCTTTAGGGAATCAAGGTAAGGACTAATTTTTGGTACTTGTTATTAATAGGGGGTAGATCGGAGTCAGAGGAATGAAACTGACTGGCCAGCATCTGGAACAGCATCTGGGTAGTGAGTTCGTATTAGAAGACCACTCCCATGACTAAGCAATAGGGACACACACAGTAGGTGATCCAGTAGGTCACTATTCGTTCATTACATACTTAACTTTACACAGCTGATCTTCCAGTAGGTCATTGTTCATTCATTAATACTTACATTTCTTTATTAGTCTCTCTGAACAGTAACCTGAGCTCAATCAGGAATTCATTTAGAGAAGTCAGTGTCTAGAGTTTGAAGCCAATCAAGGTGTGGGTGGTTTCAGCCCTAGTGTTTCCCACGACATGGTTCCCTCCTTTGGTAATGTTTCTATAGATACAATGTGCTAGAATCATAACCTTTGCAAAAATAAATTTAAGTCACGTGTGACAGATCTGCGGCTTGACCCTTTTCAGTCCCACTAAGGGACTGACCATCAGTAGCACTTCATAAAGTCTAGCCCAAAAATAATGAAGCTAATCTCGATGCTTGTTTTTCCTAAATGTCATGAGAACCCAGGAAATGGGACAGAAGTTGGACAGGGAAAATTTATAGGAAACATGAGACGCAACTGTATTGTATAGCAGCAGTTCCCAGTGAGTATTCATATTTGACACTCTCTGTCACTTCCAACTTTCCTCCAGGTCTCCCACATCATCTCCTGAAAACACAAGAACGGCTTCATGTAAAACGTTTCGTATGGGCTAAGTTGGACCATCTGTGTAGGGCCTGTGCAAGAAAAACAATTGGCAAGGCCTGGGCCCAAGTTAAAATGGTTTCCAGACAAACTGAAGGGTTTTTAAGAGTATCTGTTGTTGGCTATGAAAATGTCCATGGTAATC